AAAAAAAAAAAAAGGTGAAGACCATAGACCTAGGGAAGACCCTGCTTTTCTGAACAGTTGTGAGACATGGGGATGATCTGATGTTTCTAAACCAGGGGAACCCGACAGGTTCTTTTTGTGCAGAATCCTCATGGTGTCCCTGTGTGACATTTCTTTCCTCCCAGAATAAGGCAGGACAGGGGCAGGGAAATGGCTCGGTAGAATAAATGCTTCCCTGGCAAGCGCAAGGGCCTGAGTTCAATCTCCAGTTCCACAAAAAAAGAATAAGGCAGGACTCCTCTCAAAAGAATTCTCTGAATTAATAAATATGAGTAGAATGCTTATTTATGCCTGGTAGAACTAGTTGGGGACATTTGAAAGAGGGGAGGCCCAAGGATGGTGGCAAATGCCTGTTATCCCAGAACTTGGGAGACAGAAGCAGGAGGATCATTGTCAGTTCAAGACCAGCCTGAGCTACAAAGTGAGCTCAAATTGCATTGCATAGTGAGACACTGTCTCAAAAAGACAAAAAAAAGTTTAAAAAGGAGTAGGGCGAGAAGGTCAGAAAGGCAGCTTCCTAGGTTCTATGGCTCAGTTCCAAGAAGAAAGGACAGGGGAATTCTAGTCCTCTGCCCAGTTGGGGAAGAGTGTGGGAGTAGTTTGGAAAAACCACCCTACTTTTGAGGTTTTCTTAGCTTTTTCAACTTTGAACATTCAGCAAGAAGAAATATTTTGGCTTGCTGTATTCTGAGCCCCACTATTCACAGAGACCTTTCCGTCTTGTGGGAAAGGCAAACATAAGTCAAAATAAATAATGCGTAAGTCCAGTACGGAGGGCCATTGTGTTTGAATGCATGTACCAGGGAGAGAAGGCTTGCTGATTTTGAGCAGAGGATACAGGCAGACAATACAAAATATGGCCTTAGCAAGGCTCATCTATTGAAACACATTCAAGGAAAGTAAGAGAAAATGGAGCCATGATCGTTTAAGGCTTTGTGCTTTTCATACCATGTCCTGTGCCAGTAACACTGCAAGTGATGCTACTCTGAGTCTCCCTGGTCCCCAAGAATTGTCATTTGTATGGGCTGCATGTTTATGGGAGACCACCCAAGATTCATGTGCTGAATTACCTTTCAGGAAATGATTAGAACACAAGGGCAGAGCTCTTATGAATGGGATTAATGCCCTTATAAAACAGGCCCAAAGAAGCTGCATTGTCCTCTCCTGCCATGCAAGGAGGACACAGCTGGAAGGCACCATCTGTGAACCAGGAAATGGATGTTCACCCTGCATGGAGGCAGTGCACACCTTGGACTTCTCAGCTGCTATAGAGATCAATAAATGTATGGCTAAAACCAACCAGTTTATGGAACTTGTTGTAGGAGCCAAAACTAAGATATCCATAAGATACCATTTTACATAAAGCACAGCCATGGGATTTATTTTGCAGTAGATATTTTTCCTAAGACATAACTACACATGAAACTGGCTCTGGAATGGACATTTTTGCATCATTGTACTCATATAACTTGTAGTTATTGTCTTCTGTGCCATGTACAGCAAAAAAGAGTGGGGAGAATTTTTGTTCCAACACTTGTGCTACTAGCTTCTTAATAAAACACATTCAAAGTCCACTTACCACAGACATAGGCTACAGATAAATCTTTGTCTAAGGTATAGTTGGAGTAAAGTACTTTCCAAGCTCTTTTGAGAGAATAGATATTATGTAAAAAAGTGTTGTGTGGCAAATACACAACTAATTAGGGAAAACTTGGAAAATACTAAGCTAAATAAGGTATATTTCAGTTACCAAATTTTGCATCACTTCTAATCTGTATATTAATTGGGTTTTTCTGGAGAAACAATGGAGGGTGGGGTTGATATGGGTAGGTGGGGGAGAAAGAGAGAGAGAGAGAGGGAGAGAGAGAGAGAGAGAGAGAGAGAGAGAGAGAGAGAGAGAGAGAGAGAGAGAGAGAGAAAGAGAATTGGTTTTTGAATTATTCATAATATTGTAGAGTATGGCAAGTCCAAAATCCAAAATCTTCAGTATGGGTCAGCAGGCTGAAAACCCAAAGAAAAAGTGATGTTGTAGTTCAGGTCCAAAGATAGTCCATCTGCCTACAGAACTTTTTTTCTGTGGGTGAGGTCTGTCTTTTTTTTTTTTTTTTTTTTAATCTTAAAACCTTCAACTGATTACATGTGGGCTACCCATGCTGTAAAAGGCAATCTGCTTCACTG